AAAAAAATCAAATCTGTGACTTGGGTATATTAGGAAAATTGTCAAAAATGCCTTCTGATGACAAGAGGAGGATAAAGTGAAGAAAGATGATATCGTACAAGTTGTGTATAAAACAAACCTACACAAACACACACTAGACTTCACTGTACACCACATTAAAGGCAGCTGGAATTAAACTTTCAGTCATCACCATCAAGTGAAATAACTCTTTCCAACTAACCACCATGCTTCAACAAAACGTCTCTGGCTCAATCTGACAAAGTCCCAGTGTTGACTGGGGCTTATTTGGGAGGCGACTGTTGGGGTGTGGGGGTTCTTCCTAGTGTACAGCCTCCGTTTCTCTGTAATCAGCTCGTCACTGGGTGTGTCTGCATAGCTCCCACCGCTAATTTCATTGCTCACAGGCCACATTACCACTGAGCCAAACCACAGTGTAGAGGAAACTCCACTGCTGGCTGCTGATGATAGAGATCGGCTCATAGAAAAAGAATGAGCAAAAAACAGGGACATATAGACATACAATATCGTGCTATAGCACTGATGTGTAAGCAATGCAGACTGGCCTGTACACCCAGAATGGTACTGCACGTGTTCCTTGTATAGGAACTGATGGATAAACAAACGTTAATGTAACATTCTTCATTACCTCATATATTCTGATACGGTGAAACCCGTTTCATAGATGTGGTTCTTAAAACTGTTTAGCTGGTGCATCCGTGATTAACAAGATGGATGCTTCTCACATCAACAGCGGGGGCCCTTTGATGTGAGCCAACAGGAAAAACTGGGCCATTTGCACAAGGCTGAATGCCATAATTCAATACTGCCACATCAAACAAAGACTACTGATTTCCGTTAAGTGCAGTGCAAAGATACCATAGCAATAATCATACAGCAACAAAAATGCCATTAAAGCCAAATGACAGAACCATTTTACAGAAAAACTTGAGCCCTGCAGTGGCTTCATGAACTATCACAAGAGGATAACTCGACCAAATTTCCTGTCAACATCAGAAGTGGATACTGCAACATTTAAAATGTTTGTTTTTGATGTGAGGTGACAGAATGATTCATTTACCACATCTGTAAAACAGTTCCAACAGCCTACAAAACAACCATCAGTGGCCAACGAGGTCGGTGAATGTGTGTACACTTACTATGAACACTATCATACCTTTGGCAGCACAAGACTGAGTTTTTGGTGCGAAAGTCTGACTGACTTCTCTCTTCTACAGCAGGAAAATCTTTTGTTTCGCTGAGGAACTTCCGCAGGTCTGTCAGTGGGAATCCATCCTTCTGATAGTTCTATTAATAAAAAATATAAAAAGGAACACAGCAATTTAAAAAAAAAAAAAAACTTCTTTAATAACATTTTTCATAGTCGATTTGAGAGAGCGAGACACTTATTCCACAGTGGCTAATAAAGAATAAATTTAGACTAGGAAACCCAAAATAGTATAGTGTTTACATGGGGGAATTTCAACATTTCTCTTATTTGTAGTTCACAGCCATATATGGAAAAGAAAAGGACTCTTCACATTTGCAATGAGGATCTTTACTTGGGAAAAACACTGCAAATCAACTTCCTGTTCAACTTCCTGTTCATCAGCTAGCTTGGGATTCTTGTGGCATTTAAGCAGACACTGACATCTTCATAATAGCTCTTCCAAGAGAACAACTCTGTCAGTGAGGACAACGCTATCAAATATTTCACACAGATTTTCTGTTAATGAACTTACTTTTGTGGCATAATAAGACTTAAAGGCTGAATACACCGAGAGCCACAGCTCTTCTTTCATTCTGACTCAGCTAATGGAAGAGTACCTTGATGGTTTCATAGGCATCTGTGATGAGGGCGATGAAGAGCGACAGCACCATATAGATGAACAGAGAGATGAAGCTGAAGAGGTACGCCCGGCTGAAGAGCCACACCAGCATGTTTGTGCCCTTCAGCTGGGCGAAGGTGGTGAACATGTCGTCACCGTTCAACAGGGAGAACAAGCACTCTGCCACACGACTCAGGCCCTCGAACTAGGACACGTGAACAGGAGACATTACAAATGCTATATGTAATACAAAACCTAAGCACGAGATATACTGCAGCTTCCAACCCTGAGTTCCAATTTGAATTTTGTTTATGAAATTACTGGATACATTAACATTTTTGGGCCCCTTAAAACTTTCACATGAAGGAGAAAGAAAATTCTGGTTCAACTGTGACGAGTGGTAGCAAGTGGACACAGCTTTAATTTTTCAGAAGTAGGTCTATAATTAATTTGCAAATTGTTATATTTAAAATGTTCACCACAATTGAGTATCCCAGGGTGGTGGTAAATTGTTTTGTCTAACCAACACTACATCAAACAAGCACTCCAAGACAAAAAAGCTGAAGTAAAACATTTTGAGAAATGTCAAAATTGATGAACACAAAGGCAAACAAAGAGGAAGAGTCTGATGGCAAAAGAAACAAAACAAAACAAAAAATCCCTTTAATGTGATAGTATCTAAAAACAACATCCTCCAGCGACAGTTTCAATCCAAGGCACTTTAAGACATGTGGGATAGCAAGTCCTACAACATCCTTTGTTTATCCTCCCCGTAAATACACAAAAGGATCCTTGAAGGGCTGACAGGACACTACATGGGACTCCCTAGCTACCATACTGTAAATATCGTGACAGAGGCTCAGTAGAACACAGGGTTGGACACGTTTAGGGAACTAAAACCTGTTTTACTGCCAACTGCAGACATAATCAGCAGGTCAATTCACTCTCACTTCTGTTGGATACAGATAAAAACAGCAATTAATGTCATAGTAACACTTCATACGGCAAATCAGTCAGAGACATTACATGACTGATCACGGTCCATCTCACATCTGCCTCGTCTACAGTATGAGCTCTGCTTTGTTTAGACGCCTACTGCTGCTCGGACATCTGTAAATAATTTATTCTATCAGGCAAGGCAGCTAAACACAGTCATATTCTTTCCCTGATAGCACTTGCTGTCCAGGGAGTTAAGATGAAGGCTATTCAAGTTTAAAACGCTGTGGTCCTTCCCAGCCCAAATGTCCCCCAACTGCAGTTAAAGTATGTTGAATTTGTTTTCAGAGCACACAAAAACCTTTGTTCTTTGCTTATTAAACAATCTCACAATCAAACAATATTAAACAAAAACAAAACACACACACACACACACACACACACACACAACACCTTTTGGCTGGTCTAAACAGAGACCAGACTGAATGTGTTTCTAACATCTGGTCGCCTAAAGCTTAGGGAGCTGCTGTCACCAAAGCCAGATGTTGACCGACACCTAGTGGCTATACTGTAGGTTTACAGTGTCTTAAACGCTAAAATGAACTCCTATTTCTTCTAGACAAGGAAGTCCAAAGCCATTTATGCAGTTACACACACACATGTGATCAAGTCTGATAAAGTGGTTTTTATTGCTACAAGTGAACTCCTATTTCTTCTAGACAAGGAAGTCCAAAGCCATTTATGCAGTTACACACACATGTGATCAAGTCTGATAAAGTGGTTTTTATTGCTATAAGTGAAGTGGGAGACAATTTTGATGAAACCTATACAATACCTATACATTAATCACCTGTATTAGTTGGTATAGAACAAGACTTTCATTTTGATAAATTTATATTTTGTAATTAGGAAGACAGTTCGTATGCAGTAATAGTAAATTTGATATTGAATGAATCCCCACACTTAATTTATGCTAACTGATTCAAGTGAGCCTTCATTGTAACTTTTTAAACTCATCTTCCATCAAAATGTACCCCCAGATACTGGAGTTGCCCAACACAAAGTCATTCTCGTGACCTCAGCATTTCTGCCAGGACAAACGGAAGCAAAGTCACTTAAGACAGTTCCCCAATTTCCAACATCCTTGACATTAGAAGTCATACCATGTCCGATCATAAACTCACTTCTCTAACCTCCAGGCTTCCACTACATCTACTCCCCTCCAAGCAGTGTGTCAGTTACCTTCTCATGGTACGGACCCAGTACAATCCAGCCGCAGAACGTGTAGCCAAGGTAGATCATGCCGGCACAGCAGCAGAAACGCAGGACTTTAGGGAATGCTGCTTTCATGGTTAAAATTAACACCTACCACAGAAACAATGCAGGCAAATAATTATTAAGCCATAATCACAAAAAGACATTTGATTAGGGGTAAAATTGAGTAAAAAATAATAATAATAATTTTCAAACCTGTAATCAGAATTTGTGCAGCTTAAATTTCACACAAAACGTTAATATCAAAATGCCACATTATCAACTGCCTATACTGTGCACTGACTTAACTGAAGACTGTAGTCTATGCAAGGGCTTAGACTTTTCTGCACACAGTTGTTTATGTTGCTCAGATTTAAATATAAAACAAGCTTACTGGACACTCAAAAGCACCTTCGACTATCTGGCAAGAAAATGGTCTCATTAGATTAAACTTTGTTTTTGTGCAGAGTACATGTAGAAAGCCAATGAAATCTAACCAGAATTGCAAAAAAACTACAAATAAATAAATCAAATAAATAAAAAAATGCAGTACAGAGCCCATGTATAATGAGTCTGAGCAATGATGAAAAATGTTTCATATACAATGAGAGAAAGAAAAAAACTAAAGAAAAACCTCAGACTCACATTGTATTTCTGGAAGTATCCCAGGTACCTGATCACACCAACCCACACCATTAACGTAGACGTTCCCAGGAAGATACTGCACACATCATAACTGGTTAGACTCTACAAGGCAGAGAGAGACAAAAAGACATGTCACTGTGCTCACTTATTCAAGGAGTGCACGTCCAAGTTACATTCCGTCAGGGGCAGTGTGTGTGTGTGTGTGTGTATGAAGGTCGAGTTTATTTTATCCTTCTGTAAAACAGTCAACGTGGTACTATAAAAAGGACAGACGGGTTAAAATAAACATCTTTGCACTGAACTGTTCCAGACACTGAGGGGATAATTCACCAACTATTCCCTGAATTTTATTTCTCAATTTAAAAACAAGATCTAAACTCAAGGTAATGCCATAAAATTAGTGCCATTTTACTAAGATACTTACAACTCTTACTTCAATTGCATTTTTAACCTGAACTGGTGATATCTATAGTTGTATCACTGATCATTTAATACCCCAATTGCAAAAAAAAAAAAAAAAAAAAAAACGACAAACATAACACTCTACATAGACCTGTGACATCAACCATTCAATAGTATAAGCCAGGTTTGGACAGAAGTTACCTTTCAACAGATGATAACTGTAACTTTAGATGAAAAAGCTATTTATTTTACCTTTGCTTGTATTTCCATTTTTAGGATGGATCCAACTATGGCCAAGAGGTCACTGACAATGACCAGCAGATACCAGCCGTTCAGGAACTCCCTTTGATCGTCCTCACACACTCTACGACTGTAGTTCTCACTGAGGAATCGAGAGAATCTCTGAAAAAAAAAAAGAAAAAAAACTAAACAATGTAAATTCAAAATCATCCACACAATATCATATTACAATGTAAATTATAAACAATTCTGAAATTATATGTACGAACTGCAAGTGCTAAGGATGACATTTAATTTATGATGATGGAAAGTTAGATGAGTTGTGCTTACAGTGACATTTAGTTGGAGGAAAATGAACAAAAACAGAAAACCAAATATACACCATCTCTGATGTTGTACATTTTTATGCTCCAGAAGACACTTCCAATCTGTTGTTCCTGGATGTACAAAGGTCCAGACTAAAACACTGGGGAGACCGACCTTTTGCAGTACAGACTCCTATACTGTGGATTAGTCTGCCATGAGATATTAGATCTGCTCCTAACATGACTGTTTTTTTTGATCACTCCTTAAAACTCCTTTTGCTTTTAATATTTTGTGTATGCGTGATTTATTTTCTTTTCTGTTTTACTGTAAAGTACCTTGTAACTTAGGTTTAGAAATGTGCTATGTAAATAAATTTTGCTTGCTTGATTACACCAAAAAGTAAACTCAAAGAAGATTGAAATGAGGAGAACCAAGACACACACACACACACAAAAACAACATGTTGTACAGTGTGAGGAGAGGCTGAACAGCTGACCTGGAGTAACCTGACAGCCAGTACGAGGGAGCGGGTGCACAGCACAGCTGATGTGAGGCAAACCAGAATGACGAAGACGTCAAACACCAGAAGATAGTGTGTGTTCTTCTGAGCTGCAATGAGAAAGTGCAAGTCTGTGTGTGATGGGTTTATCTCCAACATAACACTCACATACATTACTGGTAATACAAGTTATCAGCAAGAAACGCCTCAAACAGTCGACACTTCCCAGGCCATGAAGTATCTGTACTTTGAGTATTTTCATTTTCTGCTACTTTATACTTTGACTTCACTACATTTTAGAGGCAAATTATTTTTAACTGCAGTACATTTATCAGATAATTTTAGTCACGTTTCTGGATCAGATCAATAGAACAAAATAGAGTATTTAAGATGACATTAGGCACAGACCCTGGACACGTCAGTCTATCCCAGAAATGCAGGACTTTTACTGTAACAGTACTTTTACACTGCAGTATTGCTCATTTTATTTAATGTCTTCCATCACTGATAGGCAGTGCATAAAATAAATGACAGATCACTGCATCGAAGAATCAGCAACATAAGAGTGTGGAAGTTTTCAATTTTAAATGACGACAAACAGATTCTACTGCCAATTCAATCTCACTCCCTCATGGAGGTGCTTTCTGGTACTTCAGCCCAAGACAAAATGTTCCCTGACCTGTTTTGCCTCCATTTTATTTTTAATGATTTCTTATCAAATTCCTTCATTAGAGAAGACAACTTTACTCTACCTGTCCCAGATATCTTCCAGTCTTTGCACGCACTGCTCTGAGTATCTATGTCGAGGAATATTTTCACCTTTCCACTGTGACACTGGTGGTCAAATGTTATCTAAGGACAAGGCCAAAGGAAAATAGATTAGTAAAACAATGAAAAAAAGGTTTTATCGGCAAATGCTGTGCGAGCATGTTTCAACAGTAGTGCAGTTTATATTAGGATTTTTTTCTTCATTTGTGGTCTTAATGCTTGAAACTGATATGTATAATCAAAGTGCGAACAGTCTCAACATTGCACTACATCTCTCAACAATGGAAAGTATCAGTGTTAGAATGACTGCAAACAGCTGAACCATACAGTGACGTAGAACGAGTAGCAGTCAGGCAGCTCCCGTGAATGCACCGTCTGTAGGTTGATTCCCTTCAGCTGGAAGGTTATTTTGATGTCAATGAGCCTGAAAACAGAAGTGGAAGGTGGTTCAAAGAGGTGATTTTGATGTGCATTAGGAAAACTTCAATTTGCACTTGATACCTGTAAAACTCCAAATCAAAAAACGATGAATTGTGGGCTCTCCACTGGTTTGCAGTCTTAGGATCATGTGACATACAAACTGAGAAGGAACAGAGTGTGAGAAAATAACTAAAGTGCAATCCATCCACTAAATAGCGGACTGAAAAATTCCACAATGGAATGCAAAAACTGTGTACATGCCTTGTACACTATTTTGTCTACTAGCAATTCCACAATGCAATGCTGTGCATTTTATCAGAGGGAAAATTATTGTTGAGTGGCTCTACAGCTGTAAATGATGGTTAGCAAGTGCCTGAAATCCACATGCACTGCTGGGTGAACCATTTAGTGCACACTGGGACTAATTTTGCACAGCCATCATGTGTTCAAACTGTCTCCCCCCGGCCGCCTTTTTTTTTTTTTTTGGTTCACCTGTTGGCAGCTGTAATCAGACACCTACAGTAACTATACAGTAGATAAAGTTCATATACCACAAATTAGTCGTTCAAAATTGGAAGGGAAAAAAACAAAAAAACAAAAACAAAAAAAACACACAACTAAGCACTTAAATGTTAACATCTGTAAAATGCAAGTCAGTTAATAATTTAATTTCTTGCAGGTGATCATTTCAGACTAATCTCTCACTTCTCTCCAGCTGGGCATCTATATTATAAACCTCATCTGAGGACTCCTTGATGCCTTTCTTGTAGTATTCTTTACAGATGCTGACAGGCAGCAGCTTGCCATCTCCATCCTCAGCGTAAGCAACAGCACCCACAGAGAGCTGTCCCAACTGGCTGTACTCCTACAGAGAGCTGTCCCAACTGGCTGTACTGTAAATATCAGAAAGCTCAGGTAAAACACTGCAAACACAATGCCTGATAAATATTAAATAAGTTAAGAAAGCAAGAAAATCTGACTCCCCAGCTGAGAACTTGCCTGATCCAGGACGTAAAACAGACTGTCATAAACATCATGTTGGGTGTAGACAGCAACACTATAGTCATCCTCATCGACGCCCTTGTAGCCCTTCAGGAAAAGGTTTTTCAGGGCCATGGTGTTCTCCTCCTTATAGAAGGCCACCAGCTGGTTGTTGAGGCCGAATAGGATGAGCTACAAAGAAAATTCATATTTTAATCAATTTTTACAGTAATGATCACAGGTGGAGCTAAAAGCACATGCATTCTTGTTTCTAGAACTAGAAATTACACTTGCAATATTTTTTAGAGCTGGGTCATTCAAGGACAGTCAAACTTCCCCTGCCTATCCAGCCACTACAGCAGTGTCTCGACCATCAGTAATTGTCGAGTGGAAATAGGTATTGCTTTAGGTTACTGCTGTGCTGAAAGATCAACCATGGTCCCAGTCCCATGTCATCAGGTTTTCTTCAAGGACCTCTCTGTTTCGCTGCATTCTTATTACCCTATGCATGTTAAACCTACTGCACGTACTTGGGTAGTGATCATGACGATTTTCAGAATCTGCACTCCCAGTTTCCAGGGTATATGTCGTCGGGCTCTGTACTTCTCACATGGGTTCATGAAGTAATACCTCAGGTCATCTCTCAGACTCTCTTCTTTCACATCTTGAGTTGTCACAGAGCTGAAGCAAAAGAGCAACATCATGCCAGAGCTGAGACACAAATGAAAAACAACAGCCTGTGTGGCCGGAGCCCAAATTTGACATTTACTGTAGATTTGTGATGATGATTCTTATGAAAAGCAGCCCCAGGTTACAGTGCATTTTACTGCAACAACTACAATACAGGGCACATGATAAAAAACAGAAGTGAAAGAAGGCAGTTGCTTGAGCAACAGCTGTGTCTCTCAGTCAGCTGCTTGAGCAACAGCTGTGTCTCTCAGTGCAATACACCAGATTAGTCATCTCTCACAGGAAGAACGATCACACTGCCTACACTCGTGGTGCTGTCTGGTATCAAGTCCAAGGTCAGCTCAGGGAGTGTACTTTCAGTAATCTTCCCAGCAGTATGTCTCCTCATACTTGTTATTGTGCCTGGAATTCACTGTCAGGGTTGTTTGTTTTGTCGATAAACTAACGTTACACGCTTTAGGCAAGGCAGGCTTATTTATATAGCACATTTCATACTGAAGAAATTCAAAGTGCTCTACATAGGCAAAGAAAAACAAACGGCATTAAAACCAGAAATTAGTGCCTGGAACTCATTGTCAGGGTTGTTTGTTTTGTCGATAAACTAACGTTACACGCTTTAGGCAAGGCAGGCTTATTTATATAGCACATTTCATACTGAAGAAATTCAAAGTGCTCTACATAGGCAAAGAAAAACAAACAGCATTAAAACCAGAAAATCTTTCAGGACAAAATGAAGTGAAAACATTGTTAAAATGAAGTGAAAAACAAACGGACAAAGTAAAAAGTCCGAAACACGATTATCTAGCAGTTCTAGAAAGCGCAGCAGACACCAAACAAAGCCACAGTTCGAGCCTGGGTACACTGACCCCAGTTAGTGTTAGACACCTGGGTGCTAGGTAATAAGGGACCGCTGTTTGAACGTCAGACATTTAGGTTTCGGAGATACGTTTTTGGTTCATTTATCGACTCAATACCCGACATATGCCTATATTTACCATTTATATTTCAGAAAAATAACTTTCACAGCGGTTACCACAAATGTCGCAAACATGCCCTTGAGCTAGTTCTGAACACTAGTCATAACAAACACTTACCTGATCGAATTGCTCCTGTCCATATATCGAACAAACAACTCCATGTTCGCTCAGCCACATGGACACACCAGTTTCTGCCGTGCGGCCAGTGACAAGTTGACAGAAGCATCTAGCGCGGACAGGAGAATCTTCAGCTGGCTGTTCTCTGGGACCATGTAGCTTCCCTTCAGCCAATCAGGAAGCGAGTTTCAGGCGCCGCGCAGGTGTACAATCTACGGTCGGAGGTCCTTCCGGGGTCTGTGAGAGGATGTACAGGGCTTCACGGTAAAAATCTCAAAATACTATAATTCAGCTGTTCTTCTTGTTTTTGACGTTACATGAGAATGACTGCACCAACCCATTTCTACAAAAACTGACTCAAAAGTTAAAGTTTCGTGAAATTTGCAATCCTCGACAAAACAAAACCATGGAGAGACACAAGTTTCACTCCAGAAACCAGAAACAAGGTGAGACTATTGAATCATTTATCAGTGATCTCAGGATTAAGGCAAAAGCATGCCATTTTGGAGAATTGACTGATGAGTTAATCTGTGACAGGATAGTGTGTGGCATCAACAGTGAAAGCTTAAGGAAAGCACTGTTAAGGGACAGCAACTTAACCCTGATAACTTTCTTTAATGGTCATAAAATGTATTTCTTAATTTTATTGTTCATATACATGGAAATCAACATTTTCTTTAAAAGGCATATAAACACTTTTCCCAAAGTAATACTAAAAGACATAAAGTCAGAAAGAGCAGACACTTCAGAGGAAACCCAATGCAGCAAAAAACACTCAACAGTATTGGTGACTTCTCTCAAGGAAAGGCAGACATAGCTGAGTATACACAGCAGCAGCATAAAGCTAGTTGGCAGCACTGGTGGTGGTTCCACACTGGGCTGCCTTTAAAGGGTTGTTGATGCCTTTACAGTTCAACGCTGATCTTGCTGCTTTGATGATGCAGAAGCTGTCTACTCTGCTGGTGTTGGACATGTCTCCTGAAAAGTCCGACAGTTTCAATGCGTGTCCGTGAGATAGAGGAGGCCTTGTGCCAGCTAAGGCTTCCAGGTCCTGCAGAGAGGGGGTTCGGAAATATATTACACACAAATGCTGACATACATCAATAAAAAATGTCTTTTAACAGCAATACATCCATATACCAAACTGCGAGATATTTACAAATTACATCATATGTAATATGTCAATGGTGTAAATAAAATAACACTAGAGAAGAAGCAGATTACTAATTTGAGTCCCTATAAATGGCACCGACTGACATTTCATACTATAACGGGAAAGGGAACACTTGTGTGATTTGTCAGGAGGTGTAAATACTGTGGCGACCCTGACCGGCCGCTGATGTTCATGTGTTCTGTTGTGTGCGAATTCCACAAAAACTTAATCAAAAGTAAAAAAAAAATTAAATTTTTCTTTAATGGTCATAAAATGTATTTCTTAATTTTATTGTTCATATATTTTCCAACATGGAAATCAACATTTTCTTTGAAAGGCATATAAACACTTCTCCCAAAGTAATACTAAAAGGCATACTAAAGTCCCAGGTCAAATTTAACAAACAAAAACCCTCCTTAGGGTTTTCCCTAACATCTGTTTAGGACTAATTGATTAAAAACTGGGACCACATTTCCTCTAAGAGGAGACTGATATCTCAAAATCAACCCCCTTGTTTTTTTTTAAGATTTCATCTAATTGAACTGTGGGTATAATTTTACCATAACCAAATCTGTGAAGCACTTCATACTGTAAGCCAGAACCCAACAATGACAAGACAAATACATATACAGTATACAGCACATACACTATACCAGGGGTGGCGAACCTGTTTGCCATAATGAGCCAAAAAAAAAAAAAAACTTTATCACTGCAAAAAGCCACACAAA